CTCAGAGGGACGTCCATCCAGTGGCTTGATGTTTACGATGGTAGCTGTACGATGCTCGCTGTACGATGACTCGTGCACCTTGCCCTTCGGACTGACTTCTTCAGCTATTCTTTTTCTTCCGTAGCCTTTTGGAGTCCTAATTTTCCACACTTAGCATTGTTTACTGCTACTTTTATAATTTACACTTCCACTTTTGGTAAGTACACTTCTTATTTGTGATGACACCCAACCTGTTATGGCGGACGGCTTACTCCCTCATGGCCTACTGCTGCCATCACCTCTGCTTATTTATATTTATGTTATGTTGTATATCTATATATCTATTATATATATATATTATATCTTATATATATATATATATATATATATATATTATATTATTTAAATATATATATATATCCCTTTTTTCTGGCTTGCTTGTCACGCTGTGTGTACATCACAGTTTGTCGTTAGCCACCCTCTCTTAATTCTATTTGATCTTTTCTCTTTATAACTCGCTTTGTACTTTGTTATGTGTAAACCACTGTGGCAACAGTGCCAACTAGGCCTCAACGAATGCACTTTGAAATTTTGTTGTATAAATTTCGGCTTTCTATCGCCTTTTACTTTATTTATTTTTGCTAATACTTTGGTTTCATTGTAGGGTTGTTCACTGTCGTTGTCACTAACACTGGGTTGCTTCTAGCTGCTAAACAAGCCCTAAAAAGCACTAAGATGCTTCGTAGCCTGGCGCTTGTGACCACTACAACTACGTGTGTGTGTGTGTGTGTGTGTGTGTGTGTGTGGTGTGTGTTGTGTGTGTGTGATGTGTGTGTGTGTATGGGTGTGTGTGTGTATGTGTGTGAGTGTGTGTGTGTGTGTGTGTGTGTGTGTGTGTTGTGTGTGCGGTGTGTGTGTGTGTGTTGTGTGTGTGTGTGGTGTGTGTGTGGTGTGTGTGTGTGTTGTGTGCGTGGTGAGTTGTGTGTGAGTGTTTGTGTGTGAGTGTGTGTGTGTGTGTGTGTGTGTGTGTCGTGTGTGTTGTGTTTGTGAGTGTGTGTGTGAGTGTGTGTGTGTGTGTGTGCGTGTGAGTGTGTGTGTGTGTGTGTGTAGTGCGTGTGAGTGTGTTGTGAGTGTGTTTGTGTGTGTGTGTGTGTTGTGTTGTGGTGTGTGTGTGTGTGTGGTGTGTGAGTGTGTGTGTGTGTGTGTGTGTTGTGTGTGTGTGTGTTGTGTGTGTGTGTGTTTGTGTGGGTGTGAGTGTGTGTGTGTGAGTGTGTGTGTGTGTTTGTGTGTGCGTGTGAGTGTGTGTGTGTGTGTGTGTGTGTGTGTACTCACCAAATTTGGGTACTCACCTAATTGTGGTTGCGGGGGTCGAGACTCAGCCCCTGGCCCCGCCTCTTCACTGATCGCTACTGGATCCTTCTCTCTCTGCTTCCTGAGTTTTTGTCATACCTCTTTTTTAAAACTATGTATGGTTCCTGCCTCCACTACTTCACTTGCTAGGCTATTCCACTTGCTGACAACTCTTTGATGAAGAAATATTTCCTAACGTCCCTGTGACTGTCTGAGTCTTCAGTTTCCCAGTTGTGCCCCCTTTGGGTCCCTGTGTCCCCTCTCTGGAAACATCCTATCTCTGTCCACCTTGTCTATTCCCCGCAGTTCTTGTATGTCTTTTATCATGTCTCCCCTGACCTTCTGTCCTCCAGTGTGTGTGTGTGTGTGTGTGTGGGGCGTGTGATTTGGGGTGTGTGGTGTGTGTGTGTGGGGTTGTGTGTTATATATATATATATATATATATATATATATTATATATATTTTATATATTTTATATATATATATATTATATATATATGTCGAACTGTAAAAGTATTAGGACAGCAGGTTTATAAGGCTGAGATAAAACCTCACATATGACCTGACCCAGCGTGGGAGTGTAGTGAAGCTTTTGACATGTCACATGTCAGGTACAATTTATGAGTGACATGTCAATCATAGCTTAAATTCCTCACAAATCCTATTAATTATAAATGAATCAAATTTATATAATCCTGAACTAATATTCATATTAAAATGTAATATTTTTTTACGAAACTTAATTCCATTATATTTCTGTCAGCAATGGACCTGCTTGAAAGAAATATCATAGACAGGTGTTATTTCAGACAGGTGTTTCTTCAGACAGGTTTTACTTCAGACAGGTGTTACTTCAGACAGGTGTTATTTCAGAGAGTGGTCATTTCAGACAGATTTTTAAATGCAGGTGTTATTTTAGACCGATGTTACTTCAGACAGCTGTTACTTCAGACAGGTGTTACTTCAGACAGGTGTTACTTCAGACAGGTGTTATTTCAGAGAGTGATCATTTCAGACAGATTTTTTAATGCAGGTGTTATTTCAGACATTTTAAGAAAGGTGTTATTCCAGACAGATTTTGTTGAAGACAGATGTTACTTCAGACAACTATTAGCAAGGTTGGCTCACTAGGGCAAGGATTCACATTAATAAGAGCTCAGGGGTAACGTAGCTCTCTGGAAGAACCATACAGTTCACAAAGGGAAAGATCCGATTTCGATTCCAGATCCTAGCGAGACGTGCATAGATAAGTTGCTTACTGTCTAGCGATAACTAGCAACTCAAATCCTGTGTTCGGAGGTGTTGAATTGACTGTGACTTCCTCCTCATAATTGGCTCTAGTTCATTTAGTGAACATTATAAACCTATCATTGCTACTTTTTCTTTCCTTTAGCACATTTTTTCGTATTAAATGTAAAGAAAAAATTTAGTTTTTATGGTCATTTCTCTACGTAAAGCAGCAACAACACTTAATCAGCCGGGCTGTGGCTCGTACGTTGGACTGCGTGCGGCCAGCAGTAACAGCCTAGTTGATCAGGCCCTGATCCATCGGGAGGCCTGGTCATGGACCGGGCCGCGGGGGCGTTGATCCCCGGAATAACCTCCAGGAATAACCTCCAGGTAATGTTATGTTTTCACCTGACTTACTTTATCATATATAATTCCTTGTATATTATAAAAGAAAATGAGTTGACTAACAGACTCTTATAAGTAGTGTATTGTTAATATATTATAAATGTTTCAATAATCACAGTAAACGGGTGTTCCTTGATAACGTGTGAAGTCACGAAAGCGCTTGGAATTTCGCTATTTTTTTTCACATTGCTTGTTTTGAAATTTTATATATATATATATATATATATATATATATATATATATATATATATATATATATATATATATATATATATGTAAACACTGATCTCTGGCTGAAGGAGACTCGAACTACGAACCTTAGGACAAGGTACGCAGTGCTTTAAACCCAAACTACCCTAAGTTCGTAGGTTTGAGTCTCCTTCAGCCAGAGATCAGTGTTTTTGTATATTTCGCAGCTCTCGCGAATTCCTTGCTTGTTCAAATCTCTAGTAAACTGGGTTGCATGCAGGGGATGAGATGAAAAGCTTAAGCCTTCTCCCTGAAAGCTGGCTGCCTTGGATCAAAAGTGTAGCTCATGCTTACACGCCAAGGTATTGGTCCCGTGTGGGTAGATTGGATAAGCACTGCGTACCTTGTCCTAAGGTTCGTAGGTTCGAGTCTCCTTCAGCCGAGATCAGTGTTTGTGTATATTTCGCAATGCTCTCGCGAATTCCTTGCATTGTTCAAATCTCTGTAAGGCTGAATGCATGCAGGGGGATGGGGAGAAAAAAAGCTGTAAGCCCTTTTCCCTGAAAGCTGGCTCCTTGGTCAACGTGTAGCTCATGCTACACGCCCCAAGGATTGGTCCCGTTGTGGGTAGATTGGTAAAAGCACTGCGTACCTTGTCCTAGGTTCGTAGGTTCGAGTCTCCTTCAGCCAGAATCAGTGTTTGTGTTATTATTTCGCATGCTCTCGCGAATTCCTTGCATTGTTCAAACTTCTAGTTAAGGCTGATGCATGCAGGGGATGAGATGAAAAGCTGTAAGCCTTCTCCCTGAAAAAGCTGGTTGCCTTGGATCAAACGTGTAGCTCATGCTACACGCCAAGGTATTGGTCCAGTGTGGGTAGATTGGTAAAGCACTGCGTACCTTGTCCTAAGGTTCGTAGGTTCGGAAATCTCCTTCAGCCAGAGATCAGTGTTTGGGGTATATTTCGCATGCTCTCGCGAATTTCTTGTAATATATTATAATATATATATAAAATTATTATATATATATATATATATATATAAAATATATATATATATATATACATGTCGTGGGCCCATATGTAAAACTGGTCATTAGCAAGAACTCATTTAAAATTAAAGTCCCTTTCTAAATTTTCTCTATACTTTAAAGATATTTTTTTCATTAATGTTGATGTAAAAATTTATAATTTTGCACCAAAAGGAACTAGATAACTTACTAACCTTATTATAACAAGCGCAATTTATTTTAGCTTAACCCAACTAATATATTTTAGATTTTGTTTACAGTATTTAATACCAAACAAACACAGTGAAAATATTTTTTTTCGTTTGGTTCAGAATGATTTTGGCGAAATTATTGCATACACAAATTTTCGCTTTGTCTATATGGCAAGATGAAACGTTATCTTTATTAAGCCAAGATCGCAAAGTTTCTGCTATTCGCACGAATATATATATATAATTATATATATATATATAATTATATTATATATAAATATAATATATTAATTATATTAATAATATATAATATATATAATATATATATATATAATATATATATATTATTAAGTTAATATATTTTGAATATATATATATAAATATATATTATTATATATATGATATATATATATTATATATATATAATATATATTATATATGACACTCCTTTAAGAACATAGTAAAAAAAAATTTCTATTTTGATACGGCTTTGTTTAATGGGGTGCGGCAGCTTGCAACATTTTTACTTTGTTTCTTGTTACTTACGATGATAATCATTGTAAGTGAGGCACCAGCATGGTCTGGATAACTAAGAGACTACAAGAGTCACTCTGAGATGAACACTGACCTGAAGGAGACGAGAAGGAGAGTGTGTGGGAGAAACAGACTGGACAAACTTGTGGCGTAGTTGAGTCCTGTGCTCACACTAAGATTAACTGTATTAAGCATCACCCAGCCACTCACCCACCTGGTGACCTTCACTCTCCCCTCCTCCTCCTCCTCCTCTCTTTTCACCCTCCTCACCTACATCCTTTTTTCACCTCCTCCTCCTCCCTTATATCCAGTTATTAATTTCTCTCGCTCACAGATTCTTGCTTTAAGAGATTAATTGCATAGAGAGAGAGGGGACGAGAGTCGAACAGAGGTTACCATTATTTCTTGAGTTGAATTAATTCTCTCTTAATATTTGTATTTTCAGCGCCAACATGTGTGTGTGTATGTGTGTCTGCACTCTGAAACGCTTGTTGGGGTCAAGCTCCAGTTCATGGACTCTGCTAATCATCAGATATCGTAGTATTTGAGTACATGTCATGAACAGCTGTAGTTAAAGTAAACTTTGTTTACTTTAACTACAGCTGTTCAGCGTTCAGGTCCTAAATATGAATGTTTTTAAAGATACATATTTAAAAAAAATTCTTAAATCAGCACCAGGACACAGTAGCATGGGAAGGATACTGTGGTGACACAGTAACAAGTGTAGTGTTCAGCAGTAACATGGTGCAAGTTTTGGGAATGGCAGCATCAGCAAGCAGTTCAGCGCTAAACTTCAACGGTACATATCACAAGTTTTAGCTCAGGGAAGGTCTAGTTCATAGGCAATAATTTAACGACGGTTCCTGAGTGCTGTTGAAGTCTCCTCAAACTGCAGCAGCAGTAAACTATTTGGTGATTACTGTGTCAGTTAAATATTGAGTGTTGTCATCTCCTGCGGCATTAGAAACTCTCTTAAATCGTGAGGATGAAGAATTAGACACATGTACACCACCTGGGTATCTTTACTGAAGACGTTTTGCCCACCAGTATTCAGATAAGAATGTCCAGGTGTTGCACCTGTGTCTAACACCTCATCTTGTCGGTATTGTATACTATTATTACGAAAAATGATAAGGATGTCTCGTTGATAACTTCAATGTAGATGATGTCAAGGTCTTCTTCAGCAAAATTTCCAACCAGTGAGTTCATCTGACTCAACACTTCAGTAAAACTTTGTTAGTTAGCATGAGAGCGGTGATGCTTCCATGGCAAGAGTACCAAAACTACTAACTGTCATGAAATTTCCCGACATTTAAACAATTCTTGCATCTAGGACTAACTAACCCGTTCCCTTATTTCTTTACAATCGTGTTATTATGATTTCTTGAATCTTAATACTCGCTACTTCCTTGTCTCGCATGATGTACTCTGGTACTTTATCAGATCCACAATTACCCGCGTTCATCAACAGATTCGAAGTTTGTACTTTCGAAACAATTATCTATACTTGTGTGTCCTCTTGGGCACCTCACGAGGCGCTCAACCTCTCTCACAATGGCTCCTAATTATGTTAATATGTGATAATAATCAGACGGTGTGAGCATTCCTACATTTTTATCAGTGTGTAGATCTACATTAGGATCTGCTGCAGACTGTTGTTGTTGTTGTTATTGCTGTACCTGAGTGTGGTTCAGCAGCAGCAACATCAGCAGAAAAAGCAGCAGCGTCAGCATCAGCATCAGCAGCAGCGTTAACATCAGCAGAAACAGGGGCAACATTAACACGAACAGAAACAGCAGCAGCAGCATGAAAAAGAGCAGAAACATCAGCAGCAGCAAGCAACATCAGCAGAAACATCAACAACGGCAGCATTAGCAGACACATCATCATCAGCAGCAGAAACAGCAACAACAGCAGGAGCAGCAGCAACAGAAACAGGAGCAGCTGCTGTTGCCAGGGTTACCATTCGCACGATAATTATCATAAACGTACGATAATTTTACCTTTGGTACAATATACGATACCTTTAGCTATTATCGTACGGTGTGTACGATAATTTTCGGGTTTCAGATCCTCAAAAATATTACGTTTTCTTAAGATACAATTTCCGACATCATAAGCAAAATCGCATTGCACGAAAACAGAATTAATATTAGTTTGATAAAATGTGAACGTCTGTTTATAGTTTCACAGAAAGTAGCCACATATACATGTGTAACACATGTTGCAGACGTGTTCCAAACAAAATCATTACACAATTCTAAGAAGTAGAATTGTCCTGTGTGACTAATTATGGTCCAAGTTGGACCGAAACGTCGTCATTATCTTCAGTCTTCTATTGCGGGTTATGGACCGATCCGCGGGGGCGTTGACCCTCTGGAAAACCCTCCAGGTAGAACAAGTGTCAGACTTGTTGGCATATTCCATCATGATATTACCAAATTACGTTAAATGCTTCAATATTTTCATGATTTTGTATTTAAATCCCTAAAACACAAAGTTTATATTAAAAAAAAAAAAATTAAACTTCAGATACATTAAGTAAAATTTGATACAGTGACTTCATATATAACATAACCATAACGTACCAGAAGAACACCTCTATGGTGACCTGCTTTGACACAGCACAAATAACCCGCACATAGAGATAAGCTTACGACGACATTTCGGTCCAACTTTGGACTATTTACAAAGTCATATTAACACAAAAGAGTGAGGGAGGCAGTATATATAGGCGAGGGGGACAGGGGCGGGACAAAGAGAGGAAGAAAAAGAAATGATAGTGGTGATGGTGATAGTGTTAATGGTCCAAGCTGGAGCAAAATGTCGTCGTAAGCTTTCCTCTCCTATGTACGAGTTATTTGTGTACTGTTCCAGTCACGGTATTGTGATTTTTTGTTCTCTGTTTTGACATGATAGAGATGATCAAATATTAATCAAAGTACGTTACCGCGTTAGTGCGTCGGAATTGCATTGATCGACACTTAGAATCAGTGGTTCTTGACGGAGGTCAGGAAGGTTTTCAACGATCGATGTGGCAATTTGACAGCTCTCTGGCGTCTCAAGTTATCGTCATGAGTGAGTGAGGATGACGTCCCAGTAATACCAAAAGAGGAAAAGCTGGCCTTAGTGTTATACTTGTAAGTGAAAGGTAGGCTTTTCTAAAGTGAATGCACCGTATACATAGGCTGTGTGATATAGACCTGGAATTAAAGCTATGTTTGCTTTATGCTGATATGCAAATAATGTGGCTTGTATCGAAGTTACTTCCTTCCTTTAATTATTTAAAACTGCTCTAATGCAAATGATTATCAGAAATAATCATTTAGAGCAGTTTAAATATCATCTAATCATATGATAATTTTTTTTACGATGATCAAGATGGAAACGAAGAGCACTACGATAATTCTGGTGAAAAAAAGAAGTCTGGCAACGTGGCTGTTGTTGCTGCTGTTGTTGCTGCTGCTGTTGTTGCTGCAGGTGCCACTGCCGCCGCCGCCGCTGCTGCTGCTGCTGCTGCTGCTGCTGCTGCAGCTTCAGTGTGCCACCAGCTGTCTGTGAGGGCGCACGCTACCAGCTCCTTCCAGCGTCTCTCGCACGCTTTCTCCCCCCATCGTGTGTGCGCGTGTGTGTGTGTGTGTGCGTGCTCCCTGGAAAACTTTGAAAAAATCTAGCTAGTGCCTCATTAAAATTAACTATCGCGTCGGTATATATTTCAATTGGCCTTTCTCACCACAGTCGTTATCAAACAATAGTGCGAGCGATACGTTAGTGTTCCGAGATAGTGTTGTTACTGATGCCCGACGGAGTAAGGAGCACCTCTCTGAGGACACGTGTGGTCACCTGCAGAGGGCAATGCTGTATTTCTGCCTCACCACTGTACTCGTCCTCCTCACCTGTATGTATTCATGTGGATCATGTTTGTATATACATGGTTCAGAGAACCGGCATGTTGATCAATTAGACACATGTGAAGCACTTGGGTATCGTTACTGAGGGACTGATTACCTCACACTCCTGCCGATCTTCAACCATTCCAACTTCGTATTGGACTGACGAAGCCACTGTGTGGCGAAACGTTTCCACAGTAGAGATACCCAAGTGTTGCACATGTGTCTAATTTATCATGCATTACGTTTCCACATATTATGTATATAGGTATTATGCATACAATGTTTTCCTTCCTCGAAATTACCTCCCGCTTCAGCCCTCTCCGGTGTATAGTCTCTCTATGGGACTGAAAAAAACATCACTGGTTAGCGAAACGTCTTCATAATAAAGATCTTCCCGGGTGTTAACGAATAAGGCACATATACAACACTTGGATGTCTCTTAGTGTATAAACGTTTCGCCTGCACGAAAGGTTTCTTAGTCGAATACAACACAGGAGACGGTAGAGGAAGCAGTCTTGATCCAGGTGTTGTGCATGTGTCTTATGCACCAACTCGTGAGTTACTGTATGCTCTTAATACCTGTCTCTCTCATAGGTGCAGAGCTGGACGAAACCCTAACAAAGTTCCGTCACATACGTGCCGGTCACATATTTTCCGGTCACATATGTGCCGGTCAGATATTTGCCAGTCACATATTTGCCAGTCACATATTTGTCAGTCACATATTTGCTAGTTACATATTTACCAGTCACATAATTGCCAGTCACACATTTACCAGTCACATATTTGTCAGTCACATATTTGCTAGTCACATATTTACCAGTCACATAATTGCCAGTCACATATTTACTAGTCACATATTTGCCGGCCACATATGTGCCGGTCAAATATTTGCCAGTCACATAATTGCCAATCACATATTTACCAGTCACATATTTGCCAGTCACATATTTACCGGTCACATATTTACCGGTCACATATTTACTAGTCACATATTTACCAGTCACATATTTACCAGTCACATATTTGGTTAACGACACATCAGGCCGACACTTACGGCCATTTTTATAAAATAGAAACGTTCCGGGTCTTGGGACTTAACTCGAGTGAGTCTTTAACCAAAACTTGTCGCCATTACAGGCCAGTCCTTTTTTTTCACTCACGACTTGATTTAAGCCGTCAGAAAGGCCTAAGTGTCCACCATCTGTTGCTCTTGTTCACACATTTCGAACTCTCGACGCACCTCTGGGGGTCAAAAATCAACGGTAAGTGCACTTAACAGGGCGCACTTGGTTTATGACGCGGATAGACCTGGTAACTTTGCCTGACTAGCTTTTGTTGGGACTACGATTCTTTCCGCGAAGAGCTCTTGTCAGTCTTGTTTCACTCCGTATAGAGCTTTATCAACATCTTGTTTCGATCTGGGTAGAACCTCAGCAAGTCATGTTTTGTTCTATGATAGACTTTATCACGTCATGTATACCTCTGTGTAAAGCTTTATCGGGTATTGCTTCGATTTGGGAAGAACTTTATCAAGTCGTGTTTCGTTATGTTGAAAGTTTTGTCAAGTGATGTTTTTCTATGTGCAGAGCTTAATGGAGTTAAGTATTGTTTTGTGTACGGCTTCATCATATCTTGATAAAGCTCTACACAGAGCGAAACGTTGCCCCAACAAAAGTTCGTTATACAGTGTTTGTGATTCCGTCTCTACCATGGGCGGCACACACTATGTGTATGTTGGAGGTGTCGACGCTATCTTCCACGGGGCGCACCCAGGTATCCATGCTCGCGCTGTGTACGTTCCCCCAACGGATTTAGCACTTGCCCATAACTAAAATAATATTATTATTGATAAGGATAGCGTAGAGCAAAGAGATGCTCGTCTGTCAGGCTCAAACTCTTACTGCACGAGTGTCGGTAAGGATGACACTCACCTCGACACTTGTTCCAAGAATATTTTAATCCCCACAAGAGTAATGGGAAAAGAAACAGTGTATATACACCCATCGATGAATATACTGTGCTGAGTGACATGAGAGAATTATGCTGCGAGTGTTTGGCATGAAAATACGTTGCTTTAACCTAACTTATGCCACGCTAGATGGATGATAATTTGGTTGGTCGTAGGTGCTTGTATGTATCATAGGCGCTTGTGTTTGTCATAGGCAGTGACATATTTTTTTTACTCAGTAAGATATCGTTTGGGTGTCTAGACACTTGCCGCGTTACTTGTTATCGTAGGTTACCTTTGCTGCGTGCTAGTGTGATAGTTAAACTGGCAATGTAGGTAACAAGAGTAACGTAAATGGTGAAAAAGACATGACTGCAGAGAGGGAATTTATAGAGATGTGTTGTTGTCTGTGGAGAGGCTGCTTCATGCTGCCTCTTCATTGATTGAAGAAGTCTATCCACAGGCGAAATATCTCAGTAAAGTTCCTCTCTGCATTTTCGTTATTCGTCTCCAGTAACGTAAATAAAACACTGAAAGGTTACAAAACAGAGCTCGTTACTACTGAGCGAGTGCGCTTGGTAACTAGGGAGCCACACGTCACTCATCAGTGACCACTATCATATTTCCGTATGTTTATTTTAAATAAAAGGTGTATTAAAATTTACACGCTAAGGCACTTTTTATTTTCTTCATTTCAATTTTAGTAGGCAAACTGAAATTTCTTAAAAATGCTGGAAAAAAAGGAAACACCCCACTCAAAAAGGTTAATGTAAAAAACAGAGAGTATCAAAATTGGGCCAAAATATCACTATCGAAAATTTTCACACAGGATAATACAGCGATTGATAACAGGTGATGTGAAGATATTCATGGCTACAAACATGAACCTATAAACACCCTCCTGGAACACTACACAAGGCGTGAGCAGGTCTGTCTACCTGAGGTGTTCCGGGGGGGTCAACGCCCCCGCGGCCAGGTCCATAACCAGAGGGGAAAAACTAAACATTTGGCTCCGTGACACTCCAGACTTGAGGCTTAGCCCATAGTTCACCGTCATGACACACACCAGAAGCTGCCAGTCTCACTGCGCCACTTCATCGTATAATCACTCTGATAATACAATGGTAGAATATGGCGGACGGAACGTCGTAATCTGCACATTCTTTTGTATTTTCATACATGAGGTCACGGCTGTGATACTTTCCCATTAACTTCTACCAACCTAAAACCCATCTTTGAAGGACAGCAGTGTTCTATATACTATCCTTCCTGTCAAGGTGTCAGCTCCACAGAGCTGCGTGGAGCTCACACACTTCTCGGTTAAAACACACACATACCCGTCTATCCCATTACGAAATAATGACTATCCCCTAGACAAAAAAGAAAGTTCGAAAACAAAAAAAACACTATTGATTAAAGATAATAACATTACTAGAAGACCGAGGAATTACACTAAATAATGCAACTTTACAGTGTGATACGTAAATGCTTTCTGCACTAACACATAAATGAAAAGCAATGACAAATGTTAGGCACACACACAATAAAAAATGCTACTCGTCAGAGGGTATGTCGACCACAAGTTACTAAGCAGACTGGTGATCGTGTTAAGAGATGAACGGTTAATTACTACTCTTAATATTACCTCCTGCTGGCTACTGCTGGTGATTGAAACATATTATGGACAGTGTTGGGCACAGTAGTCAGTAAGAGTCATCACGAGTCTCGGGTGAGGTGTATTCTTATTATTAAAGTTAAGTTGATGTGGGCAAGAGCTGTAGCCTGTCACAAGAGCTCCATGCGCAAGTACCCGTGTACATTTTCCTCACTTACCCGTGTACATTTTCCTCACTTACCTGTATACATTTTCCTCACTTACCTGTGTACATTTTCCTCACCTGTGTACATTTTCTTCACTTACCTGTGTACATTTTCCTCACCTGTGTACATTTTCCTCACTTACCTGTGTACATTTTCCTCACTTACCTGTGTACATTTTCCTCACCTGTGTACATTTTCTTCACTTACCTGTGTACATTTTCCTCACTTATCTGTGTACATTTTCCTCACTTACCCGTGTACATTTTCCTCACTTACCTGTGTACATTTTCCTCACTTACCTGTGTACATTTTCCTCACCTGTGTACATTTTCCTCACTTACCTGTGTACATTTTCCTCACTTACCTGTGTACATTTTCCTCACCTGTGTACATTTTCTTCACTTACCTGTGTACATTTTCCTCACCTGTGTACATTTTCCTCACTTACCTGTGTACATTTTCCTCACCTGTGTACATTTTCCTCACTTACCTGTGTACATTTTCCTCACTTACCTGTGTACATTTTCCTCACTTACCTGTGTACATTTTCCTCACCTTGTACATTTTCCTCACTTACCTTGTACATTTTTCCTCACCTGTGTAATTTTCCTCACTTACCTGTGTACATTTTCCTCACCTGTGTACATTTTCATCACTTATCTGTGTACATTTTCCTCACTTACCTGTGTACATTTTCCTCATTTACCTGTGTACATTTTCCTCACCCATGTACATTTTCCTCACTTACCCATGTACATTTTCCTCACTTACCCATGTAAATTTTCCTCGCTTACCTATGTACATTTTCCTCACTTACCCATGTACATTTTCCTCACTTACCTATGTACATTTTCCTCACTTACCCATGTACATTTTCCTCACTTACCCATTTTACATTTTCCTCACACCATGTACACTTTCCTCACTTACCCATGTACATTTTTCTCACTTACCCATGTACATTTTCCTCGCTTACCCATGTACATTTTCCTCACCCGTGTACATTTTCCTCACTTACCCATGTACATTTTCCTCTCTTACCCATGTACATTTTCCTCACTTACCCATGTACATTTTCCTCACCTATGTACATTTTCCTCACTTACCCATGTACATTTTCCTCACTTACCCATGTACATTTTTCTCACTTACCCATGTACATTTTCCTCACTTACCCATGTACATTTTCCTCACTTACCCATGTACATTTTTCTCACTTACCCATGTACATTT